TTGCTCAGCGGGCCAGCAGTGGTGGTAGTCCCCCCGTCCCCCAACGGGCTTAGTTTAAAGCCCGGTGGAGCAGGTCAGCCAGTCTGGCTGAGAAAAGCCTCCTCCCTACGGGAGAGAGGGGGAGGCCATCTCTTCCCAGCAGCTCGCTGCCTCTCTTGCCAAAGAGCGGGCTGTGGTCATGAAAGCCAAAGCCTTCCTGACGACACCAGCGCTGCAGTCTTTGGTTGACCACATAGATCCTCCTGTCCCTTCTCAGCCCATAGCCTGAGACTGGGAGGATCGACGAGAACACTACCTATGCCCCCAGACCCTTAAGCCCCGCTCCCAAATCCCTGTAGCGCCTCATGACCTGGCTGGGAGTGCTCCAAGCAGTGTCATTGGTGCCCACATGAATAAGGAGCATGGGATAGTGGTCTGTGGGTTTAAGGAGCTTTGGGATCCTCTCCGTAATGTCCCGGATGCGGGCCCCCGGGAAGCAGCAGACTTGCCGGGCTAAGGGGTTGGGGTGGCAGATTGGCCCCTCAGTCCCCCTCAGGAGGGAGTCTCCCACAACAAAGATGATTGTTAAGTTTTTCTGAAGTTCTCCTGCATAGTTGTGAAGCACATTTGGAGTTGTATGCAGTAGTCAGATGATTGTAGATGTTCAGTCCTCTGGGAATTATGTTGTATTTCTTGCATAGGCTTGGAAAAATATATATCACTACTGAGTTTGGCCTCTTTCTTCTTCATGTTGTGATGCTGAAGAAAGTTGGGCTAGATAAAACTACCCGTAGGTGGATATGTAAATTGGCTGAAAAATGCCACCACACAACAGCAAGATAGATATCAAACTGGCAGGTCTCAAAAGGATTTTAGAGGGTCTTGCTTTAAATCATAATTATTTTACATTCATATTAATTACAGAAAACAAAACTGCAAGCAAGGGGTTGCAAACAGCCTGAAGGACTGGAATTCAAACTGTTCCAGATAAACTGGAGAACCTGGCTATAGACAATAAAATGAAATTGCTTATACTGGTGTGTTAAATTATACAAAAAGAAAAAAAAACAAAACAAACCAATACACAATCGTAAAACAGGGAATTAGTTTGGCAGTAGCACTAAGAATCGGTGAGCTGTAGTGGATCAAAACCTCAACATGGATCCACAACATGACACAGCCACATAAAGGCATTTTGGGCTGCATTAACAGAAGTATTGTATGCCAGATACCATGACAGCATGAAGTGAGCTTTACAGCTTTAGTTAGACATCAGCTGGAATAGTGTGTTGAGTTTTGGCACTGTATTTTAAGAAGGATACAGATAAATTAAAGAGGAACTAATGGCAGGTGAAAAAAAAATGGAGACACCAGAATGCAACACCCCAATACAAAAAAAAAAAGAAAGGTTGAAGGTTTTAGGCATGCTTAGTTTGAAAAAGTGGAGTTACACTATTTATTAAATACAGAAAAGGCTGCCAAAAAAGATAGAAGAAAGTTGCTCTATGCCACAGATGACAGGGCATGAGACAGGGAGCTTAAACTGAAGTAAAGCGCATTTAGACCAAAACTCATCAAAAAAGCACCCTACTGAAAGTACAGGAAGGCAATAGAACAAACTAACCCAAGGGTCCTCAACCCCTATCCTGCAGGCTACATCCAGCCCACAGCACCAAGTCATCCAGCTTACAGGGATCCCCAGGTGTCTGGAAATGTAGCAACAGAGTACCAGTAGCACAGTTCCCTGCTGCCAAATTTCCAGACCCATGGGGAGCCCCAGGCCCTGAATGCCAGATCAGACACCTGATCCCAGTGCTGAGGGCAGCAGCAAGCTCCCTGGATGCCCAGTCCTAGCACACATGGCTTTATCTGGCCTGAGGGGCCAAAATTTTGAGCACCCTTGGTCTAGAGAAATTCTGGCATCTCCTTCATTGGTACTTTTCAAGAAAAGCCTGGATAAAAAGTTACCTGGGATGATTTAGGATTAGCAAATAATTCATCTGTGCAGGTGGTAACATTGATACCCTCACAAAGGAGTAGTTTGTTTGTTTGGTTTTTTTTAAAAAACAACACCATCTGAAAACTGAAGCAAATAAGTAATAAGCACCTTGATCATCACAAAATGAAAATTTAAGACACAACACAAGCTATGATACAACACAGTACTCAATAACAGTACCAGTAAGTATTAATATGTTCAAAAGAGCTTTAAAATTCTTCAGCTCACAAGTTGCAAGGACCATGTTATTTTGATAAACAAATAGAAAGAAAATAAAAGCAAAGTTCTAAAAATATTAGAGATTCAGAACCTTTGTTCTTAATTCTGAAACTAAAATTTTAAATGAACAAAACATTAAAACATGCATGCACACACAGGACATGCAAACCTACCCCAATTCCCAAAGCTTCTTCCAGAACTGGAACCACTCCACATGGGCTGACTTCTATTTGGTACCTCACCAGCTTGAGGGGGGAGCAGGGGGTAAGGAGTACATCAGTATGTCAAGTTTTTCTCTATTCCAAAGTATAGAATTGGGCCTAGAATCTACCTACAACTATTAGAGAGATGGTCACAATTACCATTTGCAGCTGAGAAGGAAGTCACTTCCTTTTGCATCAGAGCATGCCACTAAATTGAATAGGAGGTGTCCGATTTTAAATTTTCCTATCAAACATCAACATCAGACACTGCCTAATAAAGAACAGACTGGATAATTTGTTCTAGTGATTTGTCAGTCGAAAGTAAGATACTCAAATACATCTACAAACAAATAGAAGCATCTTCAATTAAACTTGTCATGAGCACTTTCCCAGGCAAGATGTATTTGGTAGCCACGCTGGTCTAAGACACAAAGAAATGCAAAAAATTCTAGAACTCTTGGTTCAAAAATTATACATTTTATTAAACTAACTAAGAAATTGCAAAAAAATTCTCTCTCTTTTCAAGCTTCCGGGCACACGCACCGTTCTTCAGGCTAAGGACAAATCCAAGATTGTAAAAATCCTCTTGGGTAGAAAATAAACTTCATTTTGCACAGGGAAATTGAGGCTGAAAGTCTGTTCCCCTGGTTCTGAGAGTCTTTTGTGCGAGTTGCTCCTTGATGTGCAGATAAGGCTGTTCTCATCCTGAAGGTGTCAGATGCCAGGAAGGCAGGGAGGCTCAAAAAAAATCTTTCCTTCTCATTCAGCAATGAAGTTTATATTTCCAAAAATATTTCTTGCACGTTTTAGTTAGTCTAATAAAAGGTATCATCTCTGAACCAAGAGTTCTAGAGTTTTGCATTTCTTTTGGTCTCAGACCAACACAGCTACCAAATACATTCCTGAAACATGGAAGATGCTGTATTTTTGCCAATTTTGGAAACATTATAGAAAAAATGACATCTGGATTAACAAATTATTTGGCTGGATTCACAAATTATTTGGCATGGAGGCAAAGATAAATCTCGATTCATTAAGATGCAAAACATACGTACATGGATCACTAGAAACTATATTCCATTACAGATGCCTAGCAACTGTACTCACCAAGAAATATTTTAAAACTATGGCTTTAAAAATTTATCTGATTATTACTCATATCACACGTTGTCTTGGAGTAGGAACCGGGAAATACATTTCTTCTGAGGGAGTGCAGAGGCAATTACTGCAAAGTATTTCTCAAAGATATCCTCTGATGAATTTTGAAGTAATGATTCAGAAATGTAGGAAAAGGGCAGAGAGAAGTACAATCTCATTACCTCCTGCTAATGGAGCAGAAACTCCATATTTTCAATTGTGAGCAAACTATTAGAAAGCCAATGGAATTTCATCACAAGATATATTTTCTTCATTAGTAGTTTATTTTTGGTTCAATAGAATATGTTGCTTTGACTCGATGACCCTTCGGGGTCCCTTCCAGCCCAAATGTCTATGAAATGTAACGAACATTTTAGGAGGTTTCAGCAGTCAACATTTAAATGTTTTCTGTAGATTTCAGGCAAATAAGTTAAGAATTATAGCAAGGTTCTACTTATTAGAAAGATTATTTGAAATCCATTTACTTCAAGTATACTTCTTGTACTTTTAGATAAAGCATTCCCCGATTTAATTCCTGTTTATAATTTATTCTTGGAAGGAGCAGGTGACCATTAAAAAACAAACAAACAAAAAACAAAAAACAGAAGTTCCAAACTATGTGACAGACAAATGGAAGCATATAAACCTCCCCACACCCATCCACCACTTTCAGATAATCTCTTTTATTAAATAGTGTATGGAAGAAGGGTTTATCAATTTATTGGGGGGTGGAAATTGAGATCAAGGAACCTGAGAACAAGTTGGGTAGTTTTAACAGGTGATCTAAAAAAAAGTCAATCATCAATCATCAGATTTGTCTGTAAAACACAAGTGGGCACCAGATTCATGTCTTCATTTACACACCTAGGAAAGGTTGGGGCTAAGTTTTGGGGTATTGTCTGGGAAATTGTTTTTAAAAGCTTATATGTTTTTGATTTTATTTTATTGTAAACCACTTTGAGCCCTTTCTGGAAAGGGAAGCATGCAGAGTAGAGTCTCAATGTACATAAACTTACAATGAGAAGTAACTCATGCAAAAAGTGGTCAAATGGGGGGAGGGGAAAAGAAACAATACAGAACAAAAGGATTAGAGATACTGGTTGACTCCCAATTTGTGAACAATTTTTGGAGCACTAAGACCCTAAATGCAATTTCTAATAGAACCATACTCCTGTACAGTACAGAAGACTCTGCTACGGTCTTTGGGGGTCCCTGACAGACATTACATTTAAGATGCAACTAACAGGTTTCATAGATTGTTAGGGCCTGGAAGAGACCTTGTAGATCATCAGGTCCAGTCCCCCTGCACTAGGCAGGAAAAGACAACTAGGGTCAAGTGACACCAGCAAGGTGACTGTCCAGTCTCCTTTTGAAGATTTCCAGAGTAGGAGACTGCACCACCACTGGAGGGAGTTTATTCCACAATCTGGGCACCCTGACCGTGAAGGAGTTTTTCCTAGAATTGAGCATGAAGCGGCCTTCCAGGAGTTTTTATCCATTGCTCCTGCTCTTGCCCAGGGATGCCCTGGTGAACAGCTGTTCACCGAGTTCTTGATGTACTCCCCTGATGTAGTGGTAAGCCGCTACCCAGCCCTCTCTCAGCCTTCTCTCCTGTAGGCTGAAGAGGCTCAAATCCCTCAGCCACTCTTTGTATTGCTTGTCTTGCAAGTCCCTGATCATATATGAGTGGCTTTTCTCTGGACCCTCTCAAGTTTTTCCACACCCTTGTTGAAGTGGGTCGGCCAGAACTGGATGCAGTACTTCTGCTGGGGTCTCACCAGTGTGGAGTACGGTGGGAGTATCACTTCCTTAGTTTTTCCATGAGATGCAATGGTTAATGCATGCCAGCTTGCTTGCCCTCCTGGCTACAGCATTGCACTGCCAGCTCATGTTCGTGTGATGGTCTATCACTACCCCTAGGTCCCTTTCAGTCATAGTGCAAGTTAAATTGTCGCCACCAAGCCTGTAGGTATGTTGGATATTGATTGTCCCCAGATGGAGCACCTTACACTTCTGAGTGTTGAACTTCACCTGGTTCCAGTCCTCCCAACTCCCCAGCCTTTACAGATCTGCCTGCATCTGCAACCTATCTTCTGGCATAGCCACACTCCCCCATAACTTGGTGTTGCCTGCAAGCTTGGCCAGTGAGCTTTTCAACCCCACATCCAAATCATTTATAAAGACACTGAAAAGCACCAGTCTAAGCATGGGCCCCCGAGGGACACCACTGGTCACTTCTCACCAGAACGACACATATCCATTCATGAGAACTCTCTGGGTCCTACCATGCAGCCAGTTTTCCACCCACTCAACTGTTGAGCAGTTAAGCCCACAATCTTCCAATTTTTCTACAAGCACATCGCGGGATACTAATTCAAAAGCCTTCTGGAAGTCTAGGTATATAATGTCGACCTTCTCTCCCACGTCCAGGTGGCGAGAGACCTGTTCGTAGAAGGGGATGAGATTGGTAAGACGCGACGAAGCCATGCTGGCTGTTATTCAGAATCTTGCCCTCAACGAGCGTATTGTACATAGATTCTTTAATGAGTTTTTCCAGGATTTTCCCTGGGATGGAGGTTAGGCTGACTGGCCTAGTTGCCTGGGTCCTCCCTCTTCCCCTTCTTGAAGATGGGCACAATGTTGGCCCTCTTTCAATCCTCAGGGTTCTCCCCTGTGTGCTACAATTTCTGAAAGAGTCTTGCCAGGGGTTCCACGATGACCTCAGCCAGCTCCATCAGCACTCCTGGGTGAAGTCCATCTGGTCCTGCTGACTTATGTCTAGCTTTTCTAGTTGGCTTTGCACCAGCTCAGCATCCACAGTGGAAAAGCTATCATTCCCACCATGCCCCCTCCACCCCATGATCCTTATCTCACTTGTCTTTCCCCTTGGTCTGGTGAAATACCAAAGCAAAGTGAGCAGTCAGGAGTTCAGTTTTTTCCCCCTGAGTGTCCATTACCAGCTGTCCCGAGGTGTTAAGTGGGGGCCCCATGATTCCATTTGTTTTCCTTCTGCTCCCTACATACCTAAAGGAGGACTTATTGTCCTTGACTCCCTTGGCTAACCAACTCAAACTCAGTCGCCACCTTAGCATTCCTTTCCTAATCATTCCCCTACAAGTGCGGACCACTGTTGTATAGTCCTCCTGGAGGACTATCCCTAGCTTCCACTGAGTGTACACCTCTTTTTTCTTTTTCAAGAGGACCACGATATTCCTACTGAGCTAGGAGGGCTTGCCAGCCCTTCTGCTACCTTTCCTCTTCACGGGAACGGTTTTCTTTTGTGCTTTGAGGATTGCGTCCTTGAGGAACAACCACTCTTCATCATTCACCTTCTGTGCCTGGTCCTGAATTACCTCTCCTACTAATGCCGTGAGCCTGCTGAAGTCAGCATTTTTTAGGTCCAGGACTTCAATCCTGCTGGTTGATCTAATCAACCTTGCAGCAGACAATGAACCTGATGAGCTCATGGGCACTGTCGCCCAGGCTACCCTCAATGTTCAAGCCACACACCAGATCATCTCCTTTGGCCAAGACCAAGTCTAGTGGAGCAGTACCTCTGGTTGTCCCTTGCACTTCCTGGGTCAGAAAGAGCTCCTCAATTACAGTTAAGAAGCTACATGACCGATCTGACCTAGCTAAGTGTTCCTCCCAATCTATGTCTGGGTAATTGAAGTCACCTATGACAACCAAGTCCCTTGCACACATGGCCTCTGTCAGTTCTTGAGAGAACTTCAGATCAAGCATCTCTCCTCGGTTCGGAGGCCTGTAGTAAACGCCTACAGTTGGGTCTCTCACCTTGTCCCCCCTGCCCAAAAGCTTGATGCAGACGGTTTCAAGCTGCTTATCTTTCGAGCCAATGTCAGCCTCCGAAGAGGTTTACTGCTCCCTCACATAGAGAGCTACCC